CGTAACCAAATGGAAGATCATCCGATGGCACCGCGACGCAACGCAGCCTCTTCTCTTGGGGTTGGGGTGGGAATGGTCCCCCGTCCGCATAAGGACACAATTAGAAAGGGATGTTTATATATATATATATATATGTATGGCTGTGGTTCAAAACCAATGGTACCGTTTTGGAGTAGGTGTACGGAATTTTGACCATAGCCATATAGATAAACATAGATACATGCACCACAAATCTCCTCGGGGAGTGTGTTTTGTGGCATGGCCTCTTGGTCTCCTTACCAAGCTTCCAGGACGAGCCCCTGGAGAACTTGACGCGTTGACCAATCGCCCTTGCTCGGGCCATCCCCGCCGGAAAAACGCGGAACTCCCCGTTGCCTGTTCAATGATGTGTTTTGATCGGTGGGTGTCCAATTCCTTCTCGAGGAGGTTCAGACCACTTTTGGAGGGGTTCCCACCCCCAGTATGAACGGGAGGGGGGTTATTGAACATGATCAACATTACATTGTATCAGGCCCTTGTTTTAAGGGCATCCCCACCCGCTGCTGAGACAGGGCTCAGATTTCCCCTTTCAAAAAGCATCATGTCAAGCAAAAGGAAATCAGCTGAGCTATGTGTGGAGCAGGATGTTTCATACTGTGGATGGACGAACTCCTGCAAAACCTAAGAAACCCTGGAATGATGATTCCCCTGTAAATACCAACAAACCATGGTTTCGCATGGTTTCAAAGTGGTGCGAACGGATTTTGTCCATCCACAGTAAGTCCCAGGTGTGGTGCCCAATTCCGGTTCGTCCAGTCACGTCTGCCTGCGAGTCGGCGTTAGCACCGGGGGAGCCGAGGAACTCTCGCTCTCCGGCAGTTGGTTCTCCACCATTCTGCCTCGCTGGCTCGGCTCGCTCGGCTCGCTCGCGGCCATCGATCGGTCAACCACTTTGGTGTCACACGAAGGGTTAAAACTGGGTGAAAGTTGGCACCTCTCAAACCAGTAGAATAGGACATAGAAAACTGCGCACAAGCGTGAAGAAGCAGGTGGCATATCAATGCTGAACCTATTTTGGCGGGCCCCCAATCACCTTGGTGCCTTCTCATCAACTAACATGAGCGCCCGAAACCTATTGGTTACCCATTGATTCACACGGGCCTTACCTGTTACCCCCCCCCAAACTCGGAACTCATATGCTGCGACCCGAAAGGAGTTCGGCCAGATTTTGGCCCATGAATGGGCTCCGAATTGGTTTCCGAGGTTCGGTTGCCAACTTGATTCCTTGGGGGGGAGGAACAGCCAAAACCAGTGCCCTATGGAACAGATGGGTTCCGTCGCCAGACTCCCTATTGGTCATTTTTGGATGTGGTTCTACTACCTGAAAAGGCCAACGCAGGTGAGCTCCACATCGCCGGAGCCCCTATTTGGCCATGGCTTGACACCCCCCAAAATGCGCAGCTTTCAGCATTTAGTTTCTCCAGGGTATCCGGCACCCATGCAGAGGATTGGGACAGAAACCAAAAGCCATCATCGCCACTCCGAAAGGTTTGGAAGGAACCTTGTTAGAAGGGGTTCGAATTAAAAGGTTTGAGTTCAGAACCTTTCTGGGGGTGGAGGGGTCCGCTGTTGTCTCTAACGATTGCTAGGGGGCCCCCAGACCCAATATGGGCTAGTAGCGACTACGGCCTTTTTCGCCCCCAAAATGCGTCTCACAACAACGGTCAACCTTGAAGCAGATCCATTCCGGGAATGAGCTCGTTGCTGCCGTTCTTCTTGGGGGGGGGGGGGACTCATGGCCTGAGAAGCGAACAGATCTAAGGGTTTTTTGTATTACGCCCTGGGATTACGCAGACTGGGAACTGACCCCATTTAGGCATATCTCCGGGATAAAATCATGCTATGTTGGACCATGTTTGGCCATTTCTCCCAGGGTGCAATACAACAACCCTTAGAAAAAACGAAAAGTCTCCGAGACACCGGTGGCCGTCTGCACCTGCTTCTCCGCCACAAAGGCATAATACCTCACGCCCGGCTTCTGCGGCTTCCTGGTAAATGGACAGGTAGACTAACACCCGCGTAACCCCAGTTGCTTAATTTTGAGCCACACCCATTTTGAACTTGGCTTCCGTTTGGCTTTCCAAAACAAAACAACATATTTGCTCGGGGGAAGAAAGACAAGAACGGATCGTTTCCCTATTTTTCTGTGGCTTCCCTTTGGCCTTCGAGCACATTTTCTTGGCGTCGGCTTCTCATGTTGCTGGCAGAATACCTCCCCCCCTTCCCCCTTTGGCCTTCCAGAACACAAAAGACAGCTGCGCCCCTGGGAAATCAACGGACGTTTCCCTACGCAAACATTGCACCATTCACCAACCTGCATGGTTTTGAGCAATACCCCCCCCCCATCTTTAATGGTAGCTTCAGGGTTCAGGAGCGCTATCCCTTTAGGTTGAAGTTGTCCAACTTTATGGACATAAAACACAGCCTCATCCGAAACATAGACAAAAGAACCGCGGAATGAGGCAAGGGGGATGGAAGGTGTAGATGAGAGTTTTTTTAAGTTTTTTTGCGGGACCATTGGGCACTAGCACTTACCCTTGTTTGTCTTAGTGATATCCACTGACCATGGGAAGGTCACTCCTTCTTGACCTCTGATCCAAGGGCCCCTTACCCACCCGAGAACACCCGTGGGAAGGTGAGCAATGTCCAGAGCCAGGGCTAGGTGTCAACATGGTGCCCGTTCCTCTTGGTCTCCCTTTCAGCTAAGGTGAAATGGATACCCGAAGAAACAAACACACGCACCTACAATTGAGCCGTGCCAAATACTCTTGTGTAAAAAGCGGTCCTATAAACTTGCTTTCGCGGACCCTTTCGCGATGCTTTCGCGACCCCATGTTTTGCTTTCGCGGGCTTTGGTTTCTTTAGAATTGCTTTCGCGACGCTTCCGCGGCGGACCGTCAAACAGCATGCAGGCTTTCGCGGGTCTTTCGCGGCGGGACCTTCTTTGGTTACTTTCGCGATAAGCTTTCGCAAGCTTTCGCGGCCTGCGTTTTGGCTTTCGCGGGGATTCTATAGGACACCCCCCTTTACTACTTTGTATTGTCAGGGTTTTTGGCGCTGCTCAATTGGTTGCTGTTGACCCCTCTGCAAAACATGAAAACTTCTGGTGGGTATAAAATCCACGCTATCTCCACCAAACAGTTAAAGTCCAAAGATCTGTTACCAAATAGCCATCAAACAGTACCCATGCTCCTGGGGAGACGAATTCATTCATGCCTGGATAGCCAAGAGTTGCAATCGCTTTGTTCAGTCACTGTTGCTGGTGTTTTGGATGGTAGAGTGCATGTAAAAAAGCGATCGCAACTGCAGGTGTTGCTGGTTTTTAGGATGGTAAAGTGCATGGGAAACAAGCGATCGCGACTGGCGATCCAAGTGAAAACCAGGTCGTGTTGCCACCTTTGGTGGAAAAATGATCGACCCCCTTGTCGAGGGGGTCGCCCATTTTCTCACCAAAGGTGGCAGAAAGACCCAAGCCGCTGCCGGTGGTTCCCCAGGTCATCGCCCAGTTGTCGCCACCAAAAAATCGCTGCCTCCACATGTCCGCGATGTCATCCAAGTCATCGGGCTCTTCTGGGACGAAGCTGGACCTCGGCTTTTCTTAAAAAAAACCAGCGTCCACAGGCTTCCAGGTGGGTGGCTTGTGTCTTTTTAGGGTATCCCCCAAAAATTGCGGTTTTTGTTGGTTTCTTTTTGAAACCAACAATTGTGTACCCTCAAAAAAGCTTGGCGCGCCCAGATCTGAAGCTTGCCCAAAAACCCTGGCACACGGGTAGAAATTTGGTTGGCAAAGGAAACCCACACCAATTGGGTTCGCATCGCCTGGTGGCCAGCAGATGTGACTCACTATATAATTTACCTGAATTAAGACATGCCGCAAGGAATCTTCATAGGCCTGGGACACCGATCCCTTGGCTCGCCAGCTGCCAATTTACCATGGACAACTTCTGGGCCACTTGGGGCAAGGCTCGGTGTCAGAAAAGCAAGAAACAACTTTCTCGGGGGAATCCCCCAAAAATGGCCTCGGTTTCCTTTTGGCTTCGCTTGAAACAAACCCCAAAAAAGGGTACCCACACAAAAATAAAAAACAGACACATATGTCGGAAGTCTGGACACGCGTCCTCTGGATTTTGCGGGTTCCCCCAGATAAGCGTGCCTTCTCAAGGGCTGGCATGTTGGTTTGTCAGCCTTGGCTCTGGCCTGATACTTTTAGGCATTACCAGTTCAGAGGCATCACCAGCATCAAAGGCATAACCAGCATCAGCAGCAGCACAGGCATCACCAGCAGCCATGGATGCGGATTTGCACGTCACACATCGCCAAACAAAACAGACTCATATTTTTTCCGGGCCTTCTCCGGATTTTGCGGGCCTTCTCCGGTTTTGCGGGCCTTCTCCGGTTTTGCGGGCCTTCTCCGGGTTTGCGTGCTCCCCCAACCTCTGCGTGCTCGCTCATTTTTATTTTTATTTTTCAAAAAATAAAAAGTTGAGAAGGCACTGTCCACTTGGGAAAAGCCTATGGCCAAAAATGAGGTACCTTACAGTAAAAACACACATCGGCTTTTCCCCGGGGTATCGTGCCTTCTCAGTTTTTTTTTTTTTTTTTTTTTTTTTCCGGGCGGTTCCCCCCAGCCGGTTCTGCGTCGCCCTGATCGGATCCCCTGTTATTTCTTGGGGATCCTAGCTGGTTTTTGACCACAGGGAAAACAACAGGGTTCCATTTCCAGTCCCAGGGGCCCAGATTGCTTGTGAAACAGCGCCTAAAGAGAAAGAGGCTTCAGTGCGTTGAACCTTCGTGTGAGGGGGGGACAGCTGGGAAAGCAATCATCAAGTAAATTTATGTCTGGGTGTAGCGCCCTTTAGAGCGGTTCCAAGAACTCGAATATGCGGTGAACATCCCATGGCCGCAATCCTGTTGCAGCCTTTTGGTGGAAGCTCCACCAAAATTCCTGTTTTGCTCTAAACTTCTAGGCTGACGGGCCTTTGACGATCCGTGCAAAATGAATTTGCCGATGTCAAGTCTCGGAATGTTGACACGCTGAGAAAAGCCGTAGGCTGCGTGCCCGCACTCGACTCTTGGTCGTGTCGCTGGTACGCAATACTAGTCTAGCCTCTCTTCTGTAACGCATTTTTACCGGCAACTCGCTGCACAAAAGGCAACAACTTGTTGCACGATGCAGGGAAACCTACCATGTCACGGACCATGTCGTTACAGTGAACTCCAGGTAGCTCCGAAAGGCTCCCTCTTTAAGAGCAAATCTGGGATACCTTGAGCTCCGAGTCCGGCTCCCTTCCAACCAGCCAGACTTGAAGTCTCTTAGTCTTAGATAGCATGCCGACTGCTTAAAGGCGCAACCAGTCGACTCTGGACAGTGAGGCAAATGGCACGGTTGCACCATCTGTTCAATCCACGAACCGTGGATGGCTGTTGAAATCCCAAGATGTCCGTGATCAAACAAGTACCATTCCCGTGTCAATTGCGTTTGGGACCATTCAGAGCGATGGGCATGTGGCACCCCACGTCCAATTGACGGATGTTGCCTTTGGCCTTGGCCTGTCAATAACCGAACATTCGCTCCTGAGCCGCATTCTAAAGCTAAGTTGCAGAAATGCACGCATCAAAGACTTCCCCCACTCTGCCCAGACCAAACTCCCAAGAAATGTGACAGTTTAAGCCTTGTTTAGAGCTTATTAACCCTAATTCAACCTTGAGCTTTGTCTTATCCTTAAAGGATAAATTCCCTGGCTCCGGTGGTACCACCTTGGAATGCAAGATCCCTGGATGCTCACATTCCTCTCGTTGGCTTGCAGGCTGGTCTAATCTATAACCTATAACCTATAACCTATCACCTATCACCTATCACCTATCACCTATAACCTATAACCTATAACCTAATCGATCTATCTATCTATCTATCTATCTCATCTAATCAAATCTAATCTATCTATGTTTTCATCTAATCTAGTCTACCCGTCAATCTACCTACGTGTTCCCTTAAACATCTGTTCTAAGCTCCAAGAATCCGAAGACCTGGTGACCTGGATCTGATCTACCCCACAACACCGCATCACCTGGCGTAGCTTTGGGGCAATTTCCAGGGCAGTTGTCTAGGAGATGACTCCAGCTGTTGTTTGCAACCGTGCTTTTCAAAAACCGACCGCTGTTTCCCTCCAGGATTGTTGATGGTTTCCTGAAAAGAATCGGATCCCTGGAAAGAATGGACATGGACGCTTCCCCATGTAAGTTGGGTCCAGGTACTGATTCCACTGGGCCCCTGAGTCCGTTGAGGCTCCCCACATCTTCGAGTATGTCCGCGACTTCCGCCGGCCCCTGGGCACCTGAGATGAGGGCCGGAGACCTTCGCCTTGAAGGTATCCGCTTTCGCAGTTGCCCGGGCTGGGAACCAGAATCCAGGTGAGCACTTTTTGGGCCATGACGAAAGATGGACCAAGTCAAAGAAACCAAACGGAGTCGGAAAACGACAAAAGTTGGAAACCGATAAAAGGTCGAAAGGTTTGCTTCGGGCAAGTGAGAAGAATAACTTTCCCTTTGCAGCCCTCTCTTCAAGTGGCATTCGTGGCGGCAAGAAGCCGCCTGTGCCAATGTCGACCACGGATTCACCGTGCTGAATAGGTCGGGCCCTAAAAGGCAACTGGGGGGGCGTCATTCATCCGGGGGCATCATTCGATCTTTGTTTGCAAATAAACACGTAGATTAAGCATCCATATTTTGATGGCTTAATCATTATCCGTCATTAGTACGGAAATATGTTTTCCTATTTCTTGCAAACACGAAAAACCCGCTGCGCTGCCCTGCACCTGGGCATCTGCCTCTGTCGGGCTTTGTGCCAGCGAGGGCGGCGGTGTTGGCGGCGGCGGTGCAAGCGGAGCCGCCTCGCGAGGCTTGGGCGAGCAGCCGAAACACTCACTTCCTGAATGGATGGGCCAAACAAGTCCAAACTGTTTGTTTAACAGTCCAGGAAATCAGGAAGTAAGAACATGGGTGTACGATGTTTGAGGTTTGCCTGTCTCGGGTTGAGGAAGCTTACTTCTTTTTCTTTCTTGGGGGGGTCCTGTTGTGACGCACATCTGCGTGACCAAACCATGTCAAGACCCCTTCCAACACGTCCAAATTGGCTGGTTCCCGTCACATATCAAGTCCCTTTCGGGAAAATCGGGCTTGAGTTTCTTTGGATTCCCTTTAAACGCCATCCTAGGTCCTCCAGTAGAGAGGTTAGAATAAGGGTACCCTTTTCTGTAGTCTATTTTAGCAGGGGAACCCTCCCCAAAACAAGGGTAAAAGGGCACTACTGGGGGACCTAGCATCCACAAGGGGGCCAAGCCTCCGACCATCAGACCTTCCCTGCCGTTCACCCCACCTCCGCTCTGAGGAAGCCATCAAAGCAGCTGCAACGCATGGCTGGCGAACCATCGTTCCGGTGGCCGAAGCCGTTGACGGGTTTGATACCGGTCTGGTTTTCAATAGGGAGTCTGTAAACATCAAATAAAGAACCATTCAATTGTGGTTTCCTTTTGGGTGGTCAAACAATACAGGCTTTGTTGCACCCAGCTCTGGATCATTATTGGGGGTAAAAGAGAAAAGTGAGAGCCGGCCGTTTTTACGGGTAGAGAAGATCGTCGTGTTAAGCTCCAGTCGCTAACACTGCCTTGGGCTAGACTCGAGCAAATGATTTGAACAGAAATCTTCGGGAAAATCGAACCCATTCTTCGGACAAGAAAACAACAATAACTGACTTCTGCCGCAAACTGGCCAGAAAGCGGTTTGTGTTCAGTCGCTGCGCTCTTGAATGGCTGGAGGATGCATTTCTTTGGAACTCAACGCGAGTCTCGCGATTCCTCCGAGAACCGCACCGGTTGGCGGTTGGCTTTTTGGCGATCGGGTAAGTCGTAAAATTGCTGCATCCCTTGCAAACAAGAGTGCCCTCAACACAAGGCACAGCCATCATATCTTATCTTACGAGGTGGTGAGTCAACATCAAACCCTCGCCTGTGGTTTTCCCAAAAACAAATCCCCACAAAACTGTAAACAAGTAGGGACGATGTCCGTATTGGTCGGGACTGTCCCGTACCCCTCCACATAAATCAGGTGAGCAGCACAAATCGGCGATGCAACCTCCCCCCCCCTATGGGGCCTTCTGCACAAAACACAAGTCATACATAGGCAAAGATCGCTTAGTGGGCACCCTTCACAGGCAAGCTTGTTCTATCTTATTTTTTGAAGCAATCAGACTCTCCCCCCCCCCCGGCAAAATGGGATGGGTGCCCTGAAAAGACATCCACATCCTCTCCTCGACCCAATGGAACCAAACAACACCTTTCGAAAAGCATTTTGTGCTGTCGCCAGTATCAAGATATACGTAGGACAAATGTGTTAGGTAATTGCGTTAATACAAGTTGTCGTAGTGGTCGTTTTCATTTGTGTTTTGGGGTTGTCTTTTTCTTGGGGTACCTTTAATGGACGCCGAAGCCGTTTTGGGGCCCTGTCCGATTCCTAAAGAAAGACACACACTTGTCGCTCTTTGGCAGGGCGGAAAACAGCAGTTCAACATGCAAACGCCAGATCGTTCAGGACTTTCCATGAGGAAACCTACGTCCATCTAGCGCCTTGCCTGCCGAAACCGCATCAAAGCAGTGGTTGTCTCTCGTGATTCCACTTCCTTATACAGTAGGTAACCAAGCACCGTTTCAAAACCAAAAGGAACACGGCGAAGGGTTACCTACTGTAGGGGTAACTGGGATTCATTGAGTTTTATGTGAACAGGATTTGATGAGCCATGAGGGGTTGGATGTGTTTGAAGAATTCTCAAAAATGCTGGGTGTGTCCCAAAACATGGCCCTCCCTTGTGGTGGGTGTTTCAAGGGGCACCACATTTCAAAAACGCCGATTCCCACTATCCCAATCACGTAAAGCACATCAGAATTACCCGCCCCCAAACCACGGCGGGGGGTATTAACATAATTACTTATGACTTCTAACATGGCAATGCAAGACTATGTCTTTACAGGCTCCGAACGGCTTCCTCTGGCTCCGAGCAAATTTGAAGACCAGGCCCCAGCTCCAAGTTTAATTCGCTCCCTTCCAATCAGCTAGTATGTTGCACAACGATGATAAACATATGCAAGTGAAAATGGAACTCACACAGGGGGGTCCCGTAAACGATTCCTCGGACCATGATGTTGGCTCCTCTAAAAATGGAAGTTCTTCTTGGGTTTCATCCACGAGGGCTCCCGACGTGACTCCTTTAAATGCACACTTGAAATTGGCAACCAGAAGGTGCTACTTAAAACCAGAAAGAGGGGCATATAGGGACCTGGGGTAGATTCTCCACCTGCACATTACCCCGCCAGTTAAAGCACCCAAAGAGGAAAGTGGATTGACGAAACCCATTTCGCACCCTTCAGCAACCCTGGTTTCTCATGATTCCCCTGTAAGTTACCAACACACCTTGGGTTTTCCAATCTGCAAACTTTTTTGGTCCTTTTTGAGGTTTTCCCTGTCACCAACGTCAGGGTGTCATTCCACGGCAGCTCTCTTCGTGCGAAGGGAGCCCCGGGAAGCGGAAGCGCCTTCTGGTGCAGCGGGAGCACCACGCCCTCATTGGGAGAACCGGAGAGACGGAGAGACGGGGACACATGGAGAGAGAGAGAGAGAGAGAGCAAGAGAAAGACATGAGCAACTAAGAGACAGAAACAAGCCCAGAAATGACCAAACAACCCAACAAACAAGAGAGAAAGAGAGAGAAAGAGAGGAAGAGAAGGACAGATAGCGAGAGAGAGAGAGAGAGAAACAAGCACCCTCTAACGACTGTGTTGAAAAGCATTCGTTGGGGGAGGGTGCTGGAAGAGAGAGACAGAGAGCACGGCAGTTCATTGCAGCAAACGGTAATTATGCCCAAAGTATGTCAGCTCTTTATTGAGTGTGTGTTTGAGATCGTGCTTTTGAGAGGGTACCCTTGTTGTTGTTGATTATTTAATTTATTATATTAATAATATAAAATAGCGGATATAATTATAAAACCTTACCTTAAAGAAATTATCCTATAACCCTTATTATCCACAAACACGATTTATAAACTTTACCGAACCAATCCAACCAATATAATAAAATAATATTACCTCATTTTACTACAATTAAATTCATAATAATAATATATATACCCATGAGTCTTGTGTAGTTTGCCCACCCCAGAAAAATTGTTGAAACCCAATGACCATGTTAGACAGCCGAACTCGGACTCACCTCGACCCAAAACAATTGGGGCAAACCGGAAAAACTTCATCTGTGATTCCGGGAGCCGGAAGCAATCAGGAGGCAAGGAATGGCTAGAGCCACCGTCAGATTCTGTTCCCCCAAGACATGGGACAAACTACAGAATCCCCTGGTGACTCGGAAAAAAAGACTTCCCGCTTCACGAGCGAGAAGACATTGCTGCTTAGAAGTACCTAAGGCCGGAAACCAGACTATAAGTTGGGAACTCCGCGAAGAATCAAAGGGCACGGCTTCTGAGAGGCGCGACTCTTTAAGGGGTGAAGTGCTCTGTGTTTCGTGGGATCACCCCCTTGAAAGAAATGCCCAACCCATGCTTAAAATACGGCTTCTTCCAATCTATCTGCCTCGCGAGGTGCCTGGTGACTTGAGGCAAGTTGTGGCATCAAATCAAAGATCAACCTGTGCTCCAATGGCAACCAAGAAAGCAGCATAGCAAACTCCAATTCAAGTTCAACATTGCTGGTGGGCTCTCAGAACAGCCATGAAACAACAGCATGATTTATCATGCTTAATATCGAATGATCACGAATCAAACGTCTACACATGAGGCTTGCTTATGTTATGATCGGAGAAGAAAAAACACTTATCCCCCCCCCTTCTTGGTAAGTTACTGGTCCATTGACCAGAATCCAAACCACCAGATAGGGGTACTGTGCCCACCCACTCCCCGCCACAAGGGACCGTCCATTGACCATCCTGTCCTCGTCCTCTACCTGGCTGTTCCCCGCTGCAGGTCGAAATCGCGCCACCACCCCAATCTTGAAGTCCTGGCTCGGGTCTGTGCCGTGTCTGAGGCTCGAAAGGCCGTGGTGAAGGTGGGTTTAAAGGGAAACCAAAGCTTGGTTGCTTTTGACCCCTTTGCAAAAAGTGAATAGCCTTTTGTGGGTCCAACTCGGAAAATCCACAAGGTTTCCCAAATGCTAAAGTCCCAAGATCCAACCAAATGGCCATAAAGAAAAGGAACGCCAAAATCCAAGTTGTCAAAAAACAACAAGTTCCAGGCCGAAGAGCCCTTTCGGGAACAAAGAGAGGTTCCACTTGATTACCAAAAGGTAACAAGGTAGGCTGAAACCCTAGGAGTTATTTTCACAAACAAAAGCAGTACATATGGATGTACGAAATCCAGCACCGGTTGGGATGGACGAAACCCTAGACACTAGGATAAACAACCCGCCGACTGCGCCCGCAGTCGTGGTGTTTGTCCATAGTCTGCTCAGTATTCCTCGGGCTGCACGAGAATCAAGGTGGCAGTTGCCCAACATGGATCCTTGGTAAATGGGGGCTCAACGACAAACACCTGCGCAACCAGCTCTTGCCTGATTCCATTTACCTGCATAGCAGGTAACCGAGGGCTTGCTATCTTTTGAAAGCCAAAAGGACCATTGCAAAGAGTTACCTACCATAGCGATTGCCCTACAATCCACTGGTTATTGGTTAGCATCCAACTCACGGCTCAACGACAAACACCTGCGCAACCAGCTCTTGCCTGATTCCATTTACCTGCATAGCAGGTAACCGAGGGCTTGCTATCTTTTGAAAGCCAAAAGGACCATTGCAAAGAGTTACCTACCATAGCGATTGCCCTACAATCCACTGGTTATTGGTTAGCATCCAACTCACCCTGTACCATCTTTCAGCCAAGCGAACGCCTGAAACAACACAACTCGTAGAGTTCGCCGATTCGGTCGGTTTGCCCCTAAGGGCTCGCACCAAAGCTGAAATGGAGTTCGGCTGCCCAAACCTCGAAATCAGAGGAGCCCTTAACAACCTTGAGTCAAGGCAGAACCCACCAGGTATGTCCACCTCTTGCTTTCTCTTAGCAAACTCACCAAACAACTCACTTTTCCGATGGAGTGGATTGGCCGAAAAGTAACCTACAACTAGCGGTTTGCTTAACACCAAAATGGCCCAACCCCGAAAAGTGACTAAAGTCCATGAACCCAGGGAGTGAGGGAATGGGGATGACCCCTGTAAACCATCCCTTGTGGTTTCCTATCCCTAGGTTCATTCCAAGAAGCCGTGATTCCGTACTCTGAAAACCAGCGAGGTGGACAGCTGCACTCGCACATGGCAAGCAACACACTGGCTGACCTTTGCACCAACGAAACGAAGAGTAACTAGACACATCCCTTCCCCCTTTTGGGGGGGGGACCCGGGGACCATAGTCACTGGAC